AGGGACAGTGAGCGCGGCGAAAAAGAAAAAGTTAGAAGCGTTCGAAATCTAGTTTTATAGGCGAATGATGAGGATTCTGTGGATATAGAAAAGGTTAGAAATGAATAGGTATTAGAAAGAATAGGAGAACAGAGGACTCTATGGAAGTCAATAAGAAATAGGCGAGATAGGTTAGTAGGACACCTTCTCGGGCATGAAGGTCTAGTCAGAGACATATTAGAGGCAGAAACAGGGGTAAGGAGGGGTAGAGGCAGAACTAGATTAGATTACGGTTCTCAAATAGTTAAGGATGTGGGTTGTTCTAGTTTTAGGGAAATGCGAAGTTTAGCTCAGGATAGGAAAGAGTGGAGGTACCTGTCCAACCAGTCTTAGGACTGACGACCTTATGATGATTATGATGAAATTTTTCATCTGTCAATAAATTTTTATCCAGTCAAAAGTACCCACAATCTCTGTAGTTTCGTAGTTTGTAATCGAGTTCCGGGGGTGATGATGCATTTATAGTACCTACATTCTGATGAAGATGCCTCTTTTATTATTTAGAAAGGTGTAGTCATGTATACATGGGTGGCCGCACGCACGTTATATTAGCGTAACATGCCGCGCTCCACTGTCCCACTGACATTTTTTGTTATTAGAAACGAAATGACGGATTACTGTTTAATGGACCGAGGAGTCGCTCTCAGCACGATTTTATTGAAATACCCATTAAGGCAACTTGTCGTGTTACACACCAGAGTGTAATTTTATAATGTATACTCCCAACTAAATAATGGAATCGAAGTGGATCATATGATTCGTTACGAAATTAATTAAGTTAAAATAAGAATTATTAGCGAATCGAGAGTGCGCTTACTGCGCTACAAAACGAATGCATTAAATTACATTGTCACAAACAAATGAGTGGAAGGCGTTGCCCTCGACAGGGACGTAGCCAACGCAAAATTGACCAGTAAATACATTAAAAACATGTCACTTGATGTTTAATTTTAACAGCTTTGAAAGCCTGCGTATAGTCGAACCCACAGGAATATTTCTAATAAAACCTCCAATTTTCCAGAGGTAAAAACAACGTGTTTCGTATATAACCCTCATCAGTACTCCTCATAAAAATAGAAAATCTAGAAAAACTAATAATCGTCATAAACTATGGATGTTAATTATGTTTGAAAATCGAAACAAGAAAAGTGTATTTGGAAATAGTAGTTGACTAATTTGGTTCCCTGAATTCCTCTAGGATCACTATTTTAAATTTTATAATGTTTAACAGTATGACAGTTTTTTGTACTTTTAAGTATACTCATGGAAAATGATGATGTACGTGAACGTAATTATATTAATTAATGCTTCAAATTCCTCATATTTAATTCGGTCATAACACCCATTTATACCTAAATCGATAGTTTCGTCTAACGTACCAAACACAAAATTATTAAATTGTTGTAGGTAGGTAACCATTAATGATATTTTTTTCAGGTATTTATCATTTGACAAATTAGTTGTTAATTGCTCACTGCATGTAATTTTATGTGGGATCCGGATGTTTTTGAAAATTTTTATCGAGGTCCAAAAAAAACCATATTGTTTACCAATTTTGTATTTTAATTTGCCTAAAAACATAAATCATTAACAACTCAAATCAGTTACAAAATAGTTGTAAAAAATCTAGAAAAAAATGATAAGGTTAGCGCTCATAGCTCAAAGGTATTTTGTTGTCTACAGAAAAATATTTTTTAAATAATTTCAATAGTCCTTTGAAAAAATTTTTGACCTTCCGCGGTCCGCCAGTTTAACGGCTGTTGGCCTAGAGGTTTAGGTTTACGCCTTTGCCTGGCATTCGGGGGGACACCGGTTTGGTTTCGGGTCCGTCTGTTTTGGTCCACGGCTATTGTATGTATCTTAATAGACGTTGAAGATGAGGAGCGCGCTAGGTGACCCTGCACATCATATTAATTGATAACAATGGAAAAAGTGAAAACAATAATTATGGAAGATTGTCGAATCACTATTAAAAATATTGCTGAAGATGTTGGAATATCTTAAGGTCAATGCCAACTTTTACAGATGTTTTGGGCATGAAAGGCGTATCTAGAACGTTTCTTCCTAAATTGCTGAATATCACGTAGACATTCCCCCTCTCGAAATTTGCTGCATGTAGTAAACAAAAATCCTATATTCCCCGAATCTGTTTGTGATGTCGAAACCAATCTTCCAATGGAAGCGCACTGAACAGCCAAAAATGAAAACAATTTCTTACCTAAAGGATAAACGGTTGATAAAGAGTATTGCTTGAAAGTTTTACGTCGTTTGCGTGGAGCAAAAACTGCAATTTTGTGGAAAAATCAATCACATTCACCGGACAAGGCCCCCTGTGACTTTATTATATGTACAGTAGAATCCGCTTATAATGACATCGAAGGGAAATGACAAACACGTCATACTAAGCGGGCGTCATACAAAGCATAGTATTAAAAAATAAACAACTTTCTATTTTGGTTAGTTATGTAGATTAATAGAGAGAAAAACTACAAATTGTATATATTTATTAACAGAAAAAGAAAAAGAACGATGAATTGTAAGATTAATATACACAAAAAGGGTCAGAAAAATGGGCGAAAATGTTATTATTAATCATTTGGGTCACTATAGACGGATATGATTTCCTGAGAATTAGACATAATAAACGATATGTCATTTTAAACGGAGTCATTATATCCAAACTTTTCTATAGAGAACTTAATACGAAAACCAAACTTAACACTGCAATTACTTCATATTAAGCGGTTGGTCAATATAGTCGGAGTCATAATAAACGAATTCCACTGTATTTCCAAAACTGAAGAAACCCATGAAAAGCTGGCGTTTGTCAGCATTAATGAGATAAAAACAGAATCGATGAAGCAGTTGAAGGCCATACTGAGTAGTCAGTTGTAGAAGTGCTTCCAAAATAGCAAAAAGCGCTGGCATAAATTGTATGTGAAGGGGGCAAATTTAATATTGATGAATAAATAATTTTTGAAAAATATTAAAATTCTGGGAACTTTTTTATTGCCCTTCGTATGCATGATAGTTTGTGCAGCTGTCTCCAATCCCATTTTCTGTTATTAGCTGACTATTCTACGTCTAATTAAATGATAAAACCGTACCTTAGGCTTACCTCCGATGGAGGAACACCGTTGTTAAAGTATAATACTGAAATGTTCGTCGGTTTAACAAAATTAACTTCTAAGACTGATAACGACAAAAACTATTTATTTACACTAATTATTAAAGAACTTAAAAACACTATTAAATTATTACTAAACTTAGGTTATGAATTATTCTATTTATTTACACTACTGTTGATATATCACTATTCACTGCGCTATTTATTTCACTGCTATCACTGTCAATTTATTTCTNCTGATAACGACAAAAACTATTTATTTACACTAATTATTAAAGAACTTAAAAACACTATTAAATTATTACTAAACTTAGGTTATGAATTATTCTATTTATTTACACTACTGTTGATATATCACTATTCACTGCGCTATTTATTTCACTTTTATCACTGTCATTTTATTTCTGGATTCACTTCTGCAACGGTCAATTTATTTCTTCTCCCTCTCGGCGATCGTCTGTTCCTTTAAATACTCTTTTGTTTACTTTCGGGAACCTTCTGGAAACATCCAGATAGTTTATTTTTTCTTTGAACTGTTAAACTGCTTTCCCAGAACGCAGGTACGACACACACATTTACAAATACGGTTCAGATGAAGAAAGGCGCCTGCGGCTAGTTGGCGAATCGATAATTCATTCATTTACATGTATGCCCAATCGCACACAAATACACTCGTGCTCGTTACAAGACTATACACCATTGACAACGGTACCATACATCCAAATTTGGACGGGATGCAGTAGTCCAACAATAAATTATATTTTTAATCAATTAAATTCCATTAAAATAGCGTGTTTAAATGAATTGTCACCTTGTACGTCCATTTCCGTTTTGGTTACGCCTTGTTTTATACTATGATAGATGATAGATGTTTTAGAACGATTAGATACATTATAAATGAAATAATAATTTAACAAATAGCAAAGTTCGCTGCAAATGCAAATATCAAGGTGATTTTATTATTTACGCGTATGTTTCTGAATTGATTTATTTCGTTAAATACGGAAAATGTTCTGAAAATAACAGGAAATCTGCGTATATTATCATCTGATATTGACATTGTCTTCATTTTGTTGATATTAATAACTAAGATAAAAAAGATACAAAGTCTACATAACCTCGTATTTACATAATTACATGTATTAATATTGGAGCATCATATTATTCGATAGTAAAGTAACATCATAATAACAAAAGCCATAAAAAATAATTTTAATGAATCAATTTGACAACCCTGTTAGCGTTTGCTGCACATATATTGATTCTATGAACTATGACAATGAAAGCAATTGCTATTATAAAAAGAATAACTAGATCACTAATAATTAATTAAGAAAACAACAGTGATAATTTAGTACTTTATAATAAAAAAATGTGGCAATTCTATTAATAATTGCAATTTCTACAAAAGTGCAACTAAAAAACAATTTGGTTTTTAAAAAGATATCACAATTAGCCAATTCCCACACAAAGCGCGTGTTTATGATAATTATACTGTAATTAATATGTACGTCGAGTTTGGGATTGGTAAGTTTTTATCCATTTTAGTTCCAAAATAGTAGACTGAGGAATTGCATGTTACATTTGCTTAAAAGAAAACTTGGCAACACTGTTAATTGTTGTCGCATACAATAAAGAAAACAAGTGATTCTAAAAAGAAAAGAACAATTTGGTGTTTAAAACAAACGTCATTAATGCTCGATTAACTTAGCATAACCACCTGTTTTACGATAATTATTATATTAATTAGTCTCGCTGTAATTAAATAGGTATTTAAATTTCATAAGTAGTTTTAAATGTTTGAGTTAAGTTTCGTATTCTTTTCTCGTTTTAGGCTGCCGGTGGTGAGTGACTGCCCGGCGGGTCAAACGGCACGGGTCAGTTCCAACCTGCACCCGACAAGCAGTATGGCCGTAAGCCGTGTGCCCAGTCCACCGCCCCAGGAGGTCAACACCCCCGTCGCCGAAAACTGGTGCTACACGCAGGTAAAAACAATAAAAACTTAATTTTCAAAAGTGTCGTTTACCGCAGTAACTATGGGAGGCCATATTTGTTTTTGTTCAATCATCGCAAAAATTAATTCGGTTTTAATGTACATAATATAAAAAGCTTTATAATGTGATTTGTTATCATGGTAGATTTTCGTAAAAAGTAAAGATACATGTGTCGTATTGTACATTAACCACAGAAATTTTGGTTGCACATTAATTTGGTTCTCGTCCGATCACGACATTTGAAATGAATATGTATGACGTTATTAATGTGAAACTGCAGTAAGACTTCAATAGAATCAAATAAAGGAATATTTGGCAAATGTATCAAAAGCAGGGCCGTAGCGATGAGCTCGGGGCTCCGGTGCGGTATTCCGCAAGGGGCCCTTCTTAAAAAATTGATATAGAAAAAAGTAAAATAAAAAAATATGATGTTCATTTCGTAGTTTGACTCAGCTCATCTCTAACAGCATAGTTTTTTTTAGAAGTCATTTTTTGAAAACAGAAAACTGCTAAGGGGCCCCTCGACTGCGGGGGCCCCGGTGCGCCGCACCGCTTGACCGGTCATCGCTACGGCCCTGATCAAAAGACTTACTTACTCTGTTAGATGATGATACGTTGTTGTCAGATATCTCTTTGTAGTTTCAAGAAAATTTGGTTTGCTAGGTATATCCGTTGTAAAAGTGATAATATTCTAGAAATTTGATCGATCTTACATCTCAAATCGTGTGTAATAAGTTGTAGATTTTGCGTAAACATTTTGATATCAAATGTAGGATGCTGCATCATTTTGCTGAAAACATTTATTAGCTTTAATATCTAATCTAGTGCCAAATTTAAATAGAACATAAGAAGTGTCTTATTTATAAGCCCGGCGGTTCCAATTTCGCCATCGTGTTATTTGGGTCTTTACCTGATTTCCGTATCTCGTTACTAAATCCAAGGGCAATAAAATTTAGCTCCTGCTTTTTAAGTAACATCACAAAATGCATGTTCTATACAGAAAATACCACAAATTGCGCGGTAAACGCCATCTATAGTACGATGCTACATTTTAGGATTACGTATGCTCCAACAAGGTCCATTTAAATATATGGATATCTACTTGCTGAAACGAATTCCGGCGTAGCTAACCTCAACGTGATAGGCACGTTACCATAATCGAATAAAATAATTCGAAGTGGTCTGTATTCTGTCGAAACTGCCGGACGCGGATCACGATTTTGATCGTTTTGGATCTCAGAAGCGCGTCGCAGACAGCTCCGACAGAACACAGACCAATTTTTACCTGCTGCTTTAAAAGCGCGTTTTAGAAAATACCACAATATCATACTACAGATGGCGTTTACCGCGCTTATCAGTAAACGTACAAAACACCCATCTTGTTAATAACAGCATGCGCATCTTTCATGCTATATACTAAATGCAATATCTGACAACGCTGCTGTCTTTTTCTTCAAAATGGCATGCCATTCATTGGACGGAATTCGTGGGTAATTACAGAAGAACCTTTTTTCAGACGGTACGAATTTTGTGTTGCCTGAAATCGCAGAATTAAAGACAGGACAGAATCCATGTGCGAAGCCACCGGTTTTTACCCACTATAGGTATAGGCGAAAGTGGTCTTGGTGTTTTTGCTTTTTTATGTGTTTTCCTACGATTGCTACTGTTTCAATTATTAAAATCTTAGGTAGTCTATAAGTAAAAGAAAAATACTGGTATGCAAGGGAAGAAAAAGTAGGGAAAGAGCGAATATAAGGATAGGAGACGAAAGATTAGAACAAGTGGCTGATTTTAAGTATCTAGAAAGTCAGGTAAGTCAGGATGGATAGGGATATAAAGCATAGGGTAACGCAGGGTCTAGTTGCCTTCAATAAATAGAAGTCACTTCTATGCTTGCGAGCGATTAAATTATAAATTTGAAGAAGATTTTTAAAGGTGTATGTTTGGAGCGCGCCGTTGTAAAAGAAAAGGTCAGAAGCGTTTGAAATGTGGTGTTACCGGCGAATGATGAGGATGCCGTGGATAGAGAAGGTTAGAAATGAAGAGGTATTAGAAAGAATAGGCGAACAGAGGACTATGAAACTTTGGGATAGATTGGTAGTACAACTTCTCAGGCATGAAGGGCTAGTCAGAGACATATTAGAGGCAGATACAGGAGTTACGAGGAGTAGAGGTAGACCTAGATTAGATTACTGTTCGCAAATAATTAAGGATGTGGGATGTTATAGTTTTAGGGAAATGCGAAGATTAGTTCAGGATAGGAAAGAGTGGAGGTGTGTGTCCAACCAGTCTTACTACTAACGACCTTATGATGATGAGGTAGTCTATAAGACCTTCATTCCTATCATAAAGTGAACCGTTAAAGGTTCGACTATTCGACCTTCAGCTTTTGTTGTATTGGCGTTGCAAAAATGCCGTTTTTACGGTTAAATATAAGACGGTTACTTTTCGCAATAAATTGGTATAGATAGACATTACTGACGACGGCCCTGACTCTGTTTAATAACTATTGAATCATACATCTTCGGAGGAACATTACGAAGTGTTCGCTTTTCTCTAAACTTTGGACAATTCCGATAAAAATAACATTAGCATAACGATGGCTTCAAAATGGATTTTTTTCTGTAAACGGTTGGGACGCTCGTTACACTTTTGTATTATTAAAATAGGATATTTTATCTGATTCCGGATTAGTTTTTTTTTTTTTTTAAGTAGGTGTACGCTTTCTTATTGTTAGTAACGTCGAAACCAGGTATCGATTTGACGTTTGTGTAGACAATAACTGTCACGTTACTGTTCGTTATTTGTGTGTTACATTTTGAAACGGTGTTAGCTCATTTCGTAATTCTAATTTTATTCGAAACGGTGAAGTGAATCCATTCTGACATTGAAGCCAAGCACACTTGGGCGCGGACACTCCTCCAGAAAAGCCGCGACCGATGAAATGAATGAAGTTTTCACATTTCACTGTATGTATTACCTACCTGTCTACGTGATGCTGTTGTTGAATAGTAATAAGAGCAACTAAAATTAAACTGTTTAATAATAAAATTGACACACATTATAACAAAACTTGAGAAATGCAGTCTTATTACACAGACTGATCTCTAATTCAAGATGACACCTTGGGCTTCGAAACTCGTTTTAGATTTTCAAACGCTCTATGTAGAATTTTGGGTTTTAGTGTTTTGTTTATTTTGGTTTGTTCCACAGAACTCCATTTAATTTGCTCGCATCTCCTTATCGCAAAAAATAACGGAGAGAGTGGGATTGCCATAAGTGAATTACTCTGTACTTACGTAATACAAACAAATCAGTATTTTTGTTAAGTATGAACATGTGAGTCGACGAACGGAGGTAAATAAGTGGGAACTTCTTACAATTTTAAGGCTACAGTTAAGTAACTATGCCTAAACCGTATAACTATAACAGTTTTGATTTTTGAGATGAAATTTTTGTAGAAATTTTATTTTTATTTTATTTTCTATTTAAAATCATCTGAAGAAGTAAATGTTAGGCTAGCTATTCTTGTAAACTGTCTATCTATCACAAGAAATTCATTTTCAGCCTGACTATTTCATCTAAATAATACCTAAACATTAATCGATTTCTGTATTCTTTCCTTTGATCCACCAAAAATCTTCATTTATTTAACATTAAAAAAATGCGTTGCTCAGGTATTAACCTCCTCAGACACATGATTCAGTCACACATTCAACAGCTCTCCTAACAAAAATTACGTTACAAAAGTTAGCCCCTATTGCTTAAATCATCCAGAATCACCTCACCAATTATATAACGTGAATCGCTTTTTAAATCCGAAGTTTGTAAAAAGTAGACAGTAAACTTGACGGAATTTGTAGGCTAGCTTCCGGATTTGTTATTTCCGAATTTTATAATGTGATTGGCATTAAAAACACGCTCATCTTCAACGAAATTTCCTTTCCGAGGCTTTGTGTCAGCCCAATCATATATTGTGTCAACACTTATCGTTTTGTGGTAATTTAAAAACTTGGAAATTGCACGGTACACTATAGGAACTACGATAAATTTTCCCTAATCGGCGCCATATTTTTAGTCTCCTCCCATTTGACGGATCCCAATGGAGACACATATCATTAATGATGATTCTAGCCCTACTTTTAGTTTCCTGGAGATCGCAACGAATTTTGGTGTTCTTTTATTAATTTGTCTTTTCGACATTGCTAGAAAATAAGTTTATTCATATTAGTTGTTAACCGATTTTTGATAAAACGAAAAAAAATCAACATTTGGAACAATTAAGAGTTGTTTTTTTACGGCCGATCCCTGTATATGCGGAATTTGCTCGTAGTGTATCTCGTCCTCTTTGTTACGTTAGTAAAATAACATGTGTAGTAATGTACAAAACTACACAGGTATACACATTACACGAAAGGTAGATATCGTATCACACGTGTTGTAAATGTTTAAATTGAGGCGTGCGTTTCTCTATTTACACTCTCGAATACAGAAACGGCGATATGACCTTATTTTTAACCTTGTATTACTTAACAATTTATTGTCAGTTGCGAATCAGCTGATGCCATATGCCTGCCTACGTTACGAACAGACATCTGACATATTGCTTATTACATTACGTGTATTCATTGAGCTATAATGTAATATATAATTACAATTACAGTTCTATAAAAATGATATCTTTATTGTGGGGCCCATGACGACGTGGGCTCATACTCTGCTATTAAAATTATTATTAAATTAAACAATTTACTTTCATTATGTACCTAAATGAAAGTTAAATTCCGGTGCACAGAATAGTGAAAAACCAATTTAGTTGTTGATTGTATTTCCTGATGGGATTTATGTTCATTGATCTCTTAGAAATTAGAAACTAAAGATGGACTGGGTGTCCGGGTTCGATTCGATACCCGAAAGATTTAGTACTTTTTTTTACCACAACCATATCACCTATCCACCCACTCCCCCGATTTCTAATAGGAGGCTGGAAGCCTGAAATAGTACATTACGTATCGAGGGAAGAAACAGGGTTTTGTCAGACTGTATGTGAATTGCAGTCTGAGATAACCTTGTTTCTTCCCGAGGTACGTATACTATTTTTTGTCATGTTTATGCGGAAAACTCGTCATTAAATTGATAGTTGGCAAAATAAGAGTAAATGATTTAGAGGTTAGAAATTGTCATTGAACAACTGATTTCTGCGCATGCCCATAAACTTTAGCGCATGCGCTCAAAAGACTAATTTCATTACCTCCCGACTAAAACACGGCTGCAAAGAGGCCATTTCTTCCCTATTTCATAGCACGCAAAACGAGCGTTCCGCGTTAACATGACAAAAAAGGTTTTTCTCCATACCTTCCGATGGAATGACTGCTTTCCTACCAGCATTAGTAGCTAGTGTCAATGAAGTACCCAAAAGATTTTTAAAATTTTTAGTGGACAACACTCTCTTCGTGTCATGTACTTCACGAAAGGAAATACATAGCNATCAATAATCAAATCACTAATTGTTACTGTTTCATTACATACTAAGTATTGGTATTTTGAAATCTTATTAATTAATACTTTGGTTTGTACTTGTGTTTCGGTTTCGGCAAAAGTTTCGGCCAATTTTGGCCGAAACCGAAACTGACGCCGAAACTTGATTTTTGGCCTAAACTCAGCCGAAACCGAAACCGAACTTTCGGTCGGACACTAATTTGAACAATTAGTATTTGCGAGTTTTGGGACAAATTTTGAATTTCTCGAATGGGATTTCAATGTTTTGGGAATTTCGTCTTATGAGAAGACACTGTTTGAATGCTACAATATAACCACTGTCGGCACGTCTTGCTTAGAGGAGTTTCAGTTTCAAAATTGTTATTGGAAAGCCTCTGTTATTTTCAATAGGAGAGTTCATGAAAATGAACGACTAAAGAAAAATTCGTCCCTTTATGTCTGTGTGTAAACATTTGGTGAATGATATTAATATTCAAAAAATTCATCAATTATATGACATTGTGATATGACACATTTGGATAACGGGGTGTGCTGAATTGTTTCAATAATATTTTAATGCATGTCGACCTTCGTACAAGGCTTTTAGACAAACGGTAATCGATTTTCTCTTCACGCAATCATTGATATTAGGTACAGACGTATGCATTATATTAAATTATTCAGAGGAATTTCGTTCTTGTAACGGTTGCAAATGAATTGCAATAATTAAATTATACTACTTCGTAATCTTGAAGAAGAATTATTTATACTGAGTGTTTATTTTCCTGGTACATATTAAAAAGGAGAGGAAATGAGGAGGTAGGAAAACAGAAGGCGCTACGTCTTCACGCCTTAACTGCTCGACTAATCATCATAAACCTTTATTCACACATTGTTAGGGGTACAGAAAAGGACATAGGGTTCCTTTTATCCAGAAATAGAAAAATTACAACGCACTACTGAAGTGAAACTTCTCCAAACGTACAAACAAACCGGGATAGGGGTTAAGGAATTGGTTTAATGGTATTATTTGTACACTATGCTTCGCACGGGTGCAATGCTTTTTTGTAATTAGACAATACAAACCGGCCGCAAACCGCTATCCCTGCATTTTAAGTCTGTAATATCTTCGAAAATATTCATTTAAATTGTATGCTGTAAAGGGTCATATTGATCTATATTAAATGCACAATGTATTTAAAAGTACTTAATTTACTTAAGGATGTTTGGGAGGTATGTCAAAATTCTACGAGACAAATTTAAATTTGGAAGAACGTTCCTCATTCAATTCTAAAACTCCTGTAGAAATTACAAATCGATTCACTAAACGGTTAANACTAAGTGTCAGTCTTCCCCTACCATAACCTTTTGATCCCAAGCTTATCCATCAAACCAGTAAGGGAATGCAATTGAATCAATCAAGAGTGCCGCATATCAGCTAAGGTAGGACGTCCCTGCTGTCCAAATGCTGATTAAACTCATTACGAACTATTACTGCACATTTTGTCTACTGTTCACTCTCTGTAGTATATTTTTTCTGAAATAAGTCTGTCCATTCGTATTTAAATTGAGTTATTTCGAAAACAGCGAATGCTATTTTTTTAAAATTTTGATATACAAATAGTAGACATTCCAGAAATATTTTTCCGAAGTAGTTTTTGTTTTTGATCTAAAAAAAAAATCGAGACAGCGGAAGGAGAGTTAGCGCAATGTGAGTAGACGAAATGCGGGCAGCTGCGTGAGTTACGCAAACCAAGTTGCGCGGGTCAGCTGGTTTAATATATTTAGTACAAAATATATACATTAATATTTACGCAATCGTTGTCGTCGACGGTGGTGTTTTAGATGTCGTAAGAACAAATTTGCTGAACTTTCTATTTGAACGTACATGTCAAACATTAATACTAATAAGTCATTTCTCGGACGAGAAGGGGCGTGTGTGTTGGGAGTTGAGAGGAGACGGAGGCGGGGAACAAAAGAAAAGTTGTAGTAATGAGACGAGGAATGTATTAAATGGCGATTATTGTTTGCAGGTGAAAGTGGTAAAATTCAGTTACATGTGGACGATCAACAACTTCAGCTTTTGCCGCGAGGAGATGGGCGAGGTGCTGAAATCGTCCACGTTTTCAGCTGGGGCCAACGACAAACTAAAATGGTAAGTTGAATGAAACGAACACATACGTACATACATACGTAGACACAATGTGAAAGCACGAGTAGGTGCAACGAAACGTGAGTCGCAGCAAACGCGAATATACCGCCGCATTTTGTTCCGCCTAGGCGGTTTTCGAAAACGGTGCTGGTTTCAAATTTCAAAAGCGGCTAACTGAACGTCACCCTGATTGTTACACATTACGTTTTGCGTTAGGGTAGCGACGTTTGTATGTACTCATCATCATCATCATAAGGTCGTCAGTCCTAAGACTGGTTGGATACGCACCTCCACTCTTTCCTATCCTGAGCTAATCTTCGCATTTCCCTAAAACTTTAACAACCCATATCCTTAACTATTTGCAATCAGTAATCTAATATAGATCTACCTTTACCCCTCCTAACTATTGTTTCTGCCTCTAATATGTCTCTGACTAGATCTTCATGCCTGATAAGGTGTCCTGGTAACTATCTTGCCTATTTCGTATTGACTTCCATAAAGTCCTCTGTTCTCGTATTCTTTCTAATACCTCTTCATATTTCATATGTAACCTTCTCCATCCACGTTATTCTCATCATTGGCCTGTAACCCCACATTTTGAACGCTTCTAAACCTTTTCGGTAAAGGTCTAGATGATGGCCCCCACTCCCGAAAGGGGTGGGTATGGAGGGGATCGAAAGATGGTGGCCATCTGAGTAAAATCCCATAAAAAATCTGCGGCGATGTCACCCCCATAATAAGTTATGGGGGTTGAAAGTTGATTTTTTGACAATTTTCATTCACTATAATTCAAATAAAATTCAATAAAAAAAATATTTTCAAGCGGGTGGAGGTGGGGGATCGAAAGAGGGTGGTCACTTGAACAACTGGATTTNCAGGTATACACATTACACGAAAGGTAGATATCGTATCACACGTGTTGTAAATGTTTAAATTGAGGCGTGCGTTTCTCTATTTACACTCTCGAATACAGAAACGGCGATATGACCTTATTTTTAACCTTGTATTACTTAACAATTTATTGTCAGTTGCGAATCAGCTGATGCCATATGCCTGCCTACGTTACGAACAGACATCTGACATATTGCTTATTACATTACGTGTATTCATTGAGCTATAATGTAATATATAATTACAATTACAGTTCTATAAAAATGATATCTTTATTGTGGGGCCCATGACGACGTGGGCTCATACTCTGCTATTAAAATTATTAATAAATTAAACAATTTACTTTCATTATGTACCTAAATGAAAGTTAAATTCCGGTGCACAGAATAGTGAAAAACCAATTTAGTTGTTGATTGTATTTCCTGATGGGATTTATGTTCATTGATCTCTTAGAAATTAGAAACTAAAGATGGACTGGGTGTCCGGGTTCGATTCGATACCCGAAAGATTTAGTACTTTTTTTTACCCCAACCATATCACCTATCCACCCACTCCCCCGATTTCTAATAGGAGGCTGGAAGCCTGAAATAGTACATTACGTATCGAGGGAAGAAACAGGGTTTTGTCAGACTGTTTATGAATTGCAGTCTGAGATAACCTTGTTTCTTCCCGAGGTACGTATACTATTTTTTGTCATGTGCGGAAAGCTCGTCATTAAATTGATAGTTGGCGAAATAACAGTAAATGATTTAGAGGTTAGAAAGACATTGTCATTGAACAACTGATTTCTGCGCATGCCCATAAACTGCAGCGCATGCGCTGAAAAGACTAATTTCATTGCCTCCCGACTAAAACACGGCTAAAAAGAGGCCATTTGTTCCCTATTTCATAGCACCTAAAACGAGCTTTCCGCGCTAACATTACAAAAAAGGTTTTTCTCCATACCTTCCGATGGAATGACTGCTTTCCTACCAGCATTAGTAGCTAGTGTCAATGAAGTACCCAAAAGATTTTTAAAATTTTTAGTGGACAACACTCTCTTCGTGTCATGTACTTCACGAAAGGAAAGACATAGCAATGTTACTAAGTGTCAGTCTTCCCCTACCATAACCTTTTGATCCCAAGCTTATCCATCAAACCAGTAAGGGAATGCAATTGAATCAATCAAGAGTGCCGCATATCAGCTAAGGTAGGACGTCCCTGCTGTCCAAATGCTGATTAAACTCATTACGAACTATTACTGCACATTTTGTCTACTGTTCACTCTCTGTAGTATATTTTTTCTGAAATAAGTCTGTCCATTCGTATTTAAATTGAGTTATTTCGAAAACAGCGAATGCTATTTTTCTGAAGTTTTGATATACAAATAGTAGACATTCCAGAAATATTTTTCCGAAGTAGTTTTTGTTTTTGATCTAAAAAAAAAATCGAGAC